GTTCAGTTTGCTTTCCATTTACACATGATAAGTTATCTCGGTTACTGAGCTCGGACCGGTCTCTGCACGGTTTTTCAAGGGTAGTGTAAATGGGGTAAATGTGTTGAACTCAAGGCTTCAGGAAGCTTCCTGGATGGGAAGCGAAAACGTCTTAAAACTTGGAAGCCTGCTCCATTGTGAAAATGCGTTGCCCCCGAAGGCGGCAACCAGAGTGACAGGCCCTCTACCTCTCTATGGGTTCTTCATCGACTTTTTTTAGGCTCAAGCCACTGAATCTCCACTAGATTTAATTCCAGGCTCTGACTTGACGAGACCAAAATGTTTTGTAGATGAGAATTTATAGAGATACCTAAAAAAATCACGACCAGACATTCTCCATGTTTGATTTTCTCCCAGTGAACAGAAATTTCTGTTGTCTTTATTATGGAGACATCAAACAACCTCTCCATAGATGCATGGCCCAACACAGAAGAGCGCCCTCCTCTGGACAGGACTGTGTGGTACATCTACACCTTATGGACAAAAGACATTGTTTTGAGGACCAAAATGTTATCATTTTGGATAAAGAAAATAGGTGGTTGGAGAGGGGCGTGAAGGAAGCCATCTGTGATAAGAATCAAAAACCAACCTTAAACAAAGGGGATGAAGTCAGATTTAAGCTTTCAAAAACCTACAATGCAGCAATTGAGTTGATCCCTTCCTGCTATCATCCCAACCCCTTACAGGGGAATAGAGGACCTCGCCCCCCCTTTCAGAGACATAGACAGGTATGGGGCATTGTAGGCTAACAAAAGAAGCAAAAAGACCCCCATTCCAAAGGTGTGGGTGCGTTTGTCCGTTTCATTTTGCATGTTCTCTAAGCAAAAACAAGGCTTTGTTGGGCTCTGTATAAAGCCTCAAACTCAACGCTATTTCTAACATTTTGAATTGAAAAAGCTTCCTGGATGGGAAGCGAAACGTCTTCAAACTTGGAAACAAAGTCCAATGGATTGTTTTTTTTTAACTTTTATGGAACAAGTACATGTCTAAATCATCTACTTTGCCTTGGACCAGTTCTACATAGATAATGGCATCTTTTGTCAAAGCAAAGCAGCCTTGGACCGTCATACTAAGCGCTCTGTAGTGACGTTCTTCTCAAATGCTGTTAGTGTTAGTCCAGATGTAACATGGTGTACATTTCCCAAAAAGTTAAATTTTTTCCCCAACAGTCCAAAGGATATTGTTATTAAGATGTTTTTGGTAAATGTTGACAGAACTTTTTTGGTTCTTTTGAGTCAGCAGTGGTTTAGGCCTTTGGTTCCTCCCTGAGACTACTTTCCCCACTCTCTCTCTCTCTTTATTGTCAAATCATGAATCCAGACCTTAACTGAGGTAAAAGAGGCCTGCAGAACTTTAGATGTTGTGTAATTATGGTCAGCTGACCACGCCTTGGAATGGTCACCGTCTATGAATAATGTCTTACTGTGGTTCAATGGGATCCTGAAGTCTTAGTGTGTAACCCCTTTGAGAGGGAGAGATGTCAAAAGACCTTGTTTCTCATCTGTTTTTGTGTTTCCTGTATGTTCGTGGATCGTTTTTTATAAAGTGTGGTGTGATGTGTTGCATATTTTTCAGAACAGGGGTCCCCAGACTTTTTCATGTTGCAGCCGTTAGCTTCTGGCCCCTTTAGCAACAGAACAGGAAATGCTACAAAATATGAAGAAAAAAAAAGGAAAATATTTCTTACTTTTATCCTTATCCATTAATAAGAATTGTTTAACAACAAAAAATACCTTTATCTTAAATAATTAGACAGAATATCTAAGTTCAGTTTTAAGTCCTCAGTTTTAACTCTTGAGAAATAAGTCGTAATATTATGAGAATAAAGTCATAAAATTAGGAGAATAAAGTCGCAATGAGAATAGTTATAAAATTATAAGGAGAAAGCCGTAAAATTACTAGAATAAAGTCATAACTTTTTGAGAATAAAGTCATAAAATTACGAGAATAAAGTCGTAACATTACGAAAATTAACTTGGACAACTTTAAATGACACAGAGTGTATACAAAACGAAATTTCGTTTAGTACAGCTTTCCAGACAGTAAATAAACATTTCCATTCCCTAAAATGCAGCAGTGTTCAAATGTAATAAAGTCGTAACTTTACGAGAATAAAGTCATAAAACTACGAGGATAAAGTGTCGTAATGTTACTTTATTCTCGAAATGAAAAAACAAATAAAAAATCTCTACCCTGGCGCTAATGCTCCGTCGTAGAAAATGTCTGACGGTCGTAAGAGGGAAAAGTGTCTACGATGTGAATGAGAAGAAAAGAAAGGCCTCAGAAGAGGCAGATATATCCCAGAATGCTTTGCGCGGAGAGTTCTCTGCACAAAGCATTATGGGATTTCCTGTCACAGCGGCCTGCTGTCGTCATAGGCTATCGCTTCCCGACAACAGCGACTAATAACAAAGATGGCGCAGGCACCGCGTGGTGGTGGAGGAGGAGTAACGTGACCAATGAAGCAAAAAGTAGTGATCATCTGTCCGAACGGTCAGTTAACTGAGCTGTACAGTGGAAAAAATTTAAATCTAGATAAGTCATTATTTCATAAAATAAGTGCATTTGTTCTTGAATTTAGAAGGTAAAAGACATATTTTGCCAATGAAGCAAGAGAATTTACATTTAAAATAAGAAAATACAATTACATTGTCTTATTTCAAGTGCATTTTATCTAAATACCTTATTTTAAGAGTAAAAATACTCATTCAATTGGCAAATCATCTTATTTACCTACTTAAATTAAGGGTAAATTAACTTAATTTGAGAAATTTTTACTTATTTGTAGATCTTTTTTCCAGTGTATGTGAACACGGTAAGCTTGTACACTGGAAAAACGATCTAGAAATAAGTGGAAAATTTCTTAAATCAAGTGTATTTACCCTTAATTTGAATAGGTAAATGAGAAGATTTGCCAATGGAATCAGTATTTTTACTCTTACAATAAGATAATTAGATAATATGCACGTGAAATAAGAATATGCAACTGAGTTTTCTTATTTTAACTGCAAATTGTCTTGTTCCATTGGCAAGATGTCTCTTTTACCTCCTCAATCAACAACAAATGCACTTATTTTAAGAAAAACTGACTTATCTAGAGCTCGATTTTTTTTCCAGTGTACGAGCTATGAGATCAGCCCATTTTAAAAAGGGCGTGCACTAGAAAAAAATGGGCTTGTATGCTTCTTGCATGCGTATTTTTTTTTTTTTAACCTGGCGGGTCTTTTAAAAAATCCTCCACAAAACCTTTCATATGATATAGTGTGATGAGCTATATTTTTAAATCTCTTTAGAAAATATCCATGTTATAATAATTTTAA